ACAATAGAATTCACTTTTGTTATCGCTAGGCTATTGTATAAATTGTTGGCTGCTCAAAACGTTCACCTCCAGCCAAATGTTAATTGTAATGAACGCCTACCCATTAGTATTCGACGGACACTACAAGGTAATAGTGATGTGAGAGAGTACATTAAGTTTATCGATATCGATACCTTTTAAACTATAGGACTAGGTCATAACTGAGTCAGTGCCTGAGGTATGGCAGCGGCACTGGAGGGGTGACATTGACATATTATGACGTCTCCCGTGCCGCTCCAATACTTCAGGTACTCAGTTAAGCGCTAAATCTATAGATAGTTGAAACATTTTTGTATAAGAAATACTGATCTGTTATGATTTAAGAAGATTAAGTATTGGAAGGGGAAAGCATGGGAAAGCTCTTAGTCTACGTTTTATCTGATTCAAAGCAGATCGAAGCTGCGAAGGTGGAATTCTACTAATGCTATTCTAACATTAAATAACAATAAATAACCATAACATTAGAAATAATAATGACAAAAAAGGACAAAATAATATGACTGAGATTTAATCGAGTTTTGAATTTAAGTAAGTATCGATAATCCTGCAACCCCCATCCCTAGCTCTGCAAACAAAACAATTGGCAGCGCTACCTTTAAATCCGTTGAAATTCAACTAAATTCCTGACTGTTGGATAAATGTCTACAACAGGCGTATTTTAGAAGATTTACTGACAATTGTGCAGCTTCAATTTTGCCGAGAATTTTGCTACAACAAGTAGCAGAACAATAAGGGATCATTGATTGTTTTGAAAAGTGAAAATCTCTAGCTGTGCCCGCGACTTCATGAGCGTGAAAATAGTTTGAGTTACATTTCCCATAATGCGTGCGATCGCCATCGCCGGCGCGATCAAAGGCTAAATTAATGACAAGTCGCGCGACCCATGACAGTCCACGCGACCTGTCATTTGCCTATGATCGCGCCGGCGATGGCGATCTGTACGCGTTGGTGTGATTGAAGCCTTACTGTTACGCCCCTATTGGCTATAGGGTGATGTTAAATGTATAACCTGACTTTCCTCGATGAATGGGCTAACAAACACAAAAAGAAATCAATTTGTGTCAGTAGTTACTGAGATTAGCGCATTCAACCAAACATACAAACTCTTCAGCTTTTAAATACACAAAAAAATAACAAATTTTAATAGCGAGCTTTTAAAAACCCAGAAAAGTCGTGGACTATAATCCTGTTGCTAAAACCAGATTATTTTAGAAACGTTGGAATGTTAGAGAGCGCTGCCAAACTAGGTTTCGGTCTATTTTGTGTGGGCGAACGTATTCCCAAAAGGGCCTCATTTTTTTAAACTTTTACTTTATGTTTAAGGAAAATGTGAAATATTTTTTTATAATATTTTGGCTAGTTGACTTCACAACGATCCATTTTACAGGTCCGATTTATCGTATACGTATTCGGTTTTCAATAAAGCACAGTAGTGTGTGTGATCTCGCCCTTAGAACTACTGACTACATACCTAGTACTTACATACGCTCTCACCGAATAAAAACATCGTTTTCATAGATAACTAACCAATACAATTTTAGATACTTAATAAGTGGCAATGGGGTAGGGTATGAACGCAGAACTGACGGCCTATGGAGCAGCATGGTTCTGGAGCGGAGGCCACGTGTCAGAAAATGCAGCGTGGGACTTTCTTACGGCGATGTGGAATTCATTATGGGAGGTCTATGTTCAGTATTGGACGACCTGTGGCTAAAATGTTGATGCTGATGATTTAATACTTTTCACTAATTATTACAAGTTCTATTTTTATTCAAAGATCAAAGACAAACTTAATTCCTTCTAAACAATAGCAAAGGAATAAAACTAAACGCCGGAGCCACTCGACGAACTGCAAAGTGCTCGTTCTAACTTGAAAAGACAAGGATTGGAAACGCAAATCGTGATTGTAGTGAAGGTAAATAAGCCAGTCAATTGAACTACGAGTGCTATAGGTACTGAACTGTCCCACCAAACTCATTGACAGGGGTGCACCACCATCGTATAGTTTCCAACGTGACTAAAATCGGAACCAGCGATCCGGTAATGACGGTGGCGCCCTCCTGTCAATGTCACTCGTGGGACAGTTCGTTGTAGTGGGTCTATACGAGGACGATCGCACCCAGTGTGAGAGACGTGCTCTGGAAAATATTTTATTCAACTCTACTTTTGTAGGTTTTGTTATTTGCTAATATTGTAAAGAGAAAAGATTTTATTGTTTATTTTGTTCGTACTGAATAGGTTCCAAAACAACTCGTACTTTGCCGATTTTTAATGAAAATTCGCCGGGTTAACTGGTTTGACGATGAAACCCAAAAGGCAAATAAATTGTCATAAGAAAGTGATGTTTTATTTCATGATTACTTCTTCTCGCGATTTTTAAGTCTCCAATCTCCATCGCTTATACGTCATAATGACCAAACCTAGGTTTTATATTTCTCAAACAGTGAGTTACAAAAAAACGTAACCCCCCTTCTAGCGCAGTCGGGTAAACATGACCCTTATTACTATACCGTATCTTTATAGAATATAGACAAACGAACTGTATGAAAAACGCTGAGTATAATTTCTTGTACAGAATGGACTATCTGTTTCATTTAAACTATGTACCTAATAATGAGAGAGACGGTCTCCTTTTAATCGTGGTTGAACTTGTAATAACTGGTGTTGCAAAAATTAAGATTCGTCTGAGGTTGGTAGCTGACTGCTGTATTAATAATTCCTGCTTCTGGCAGGTTTCATTTCTGTTTCACTTGATAAGCGTTGAAATAATTCAATGCAGTCGGGTAAACATGACCCTTATTACTATACCGTATCTTTATAGAATATAGACAAACGAACTGTATGAAAAACGCTGAGTATAATTTCTTGTACAGAATGGACTGTCTGTTTCATTTAAACTATGTACCTAATAATGAAAGAGACGGTCTCCTTTTAATCGTGGTTGAACTTGTAATAACTGGTGTTGCAAAAATTAAGATTCGTCTGAGGTTAGTAGCTGACTGCTGTATTAATAATTCCTGCTTCTGGCAGGTTTCATTTCAGTTTCACTTGATAAGCGTTGAAATAATTCAATTTTAATAAATCTTTTGTTCGAGCATAATATGAGCATTACATTGACATTTTAACTTAAAATAAAACTTTTACATCAACATTAATATGCTATTAAATATTAAAGTAAATTTTATGAATTTTGTTTTTTTTCTGAGGTGGAAGCTGGACAACTTCAAGTTGGTTTGTACTTCAACACACTCGAAAACGTTTTGTTCATTTCCCTAGTTCCAACACACAGTCGCCTTTGCATTTTTTGTTCGTCGCATCTTATAAATATACCTACCACAATATAACCTACTGTCGCTGTAGGGCTTTCATTATGCTCATAACACCTAAAGAATGGTCTAAACTCATTAGATGTACAATTGTACAACCGTTACATCATACCTTTTGTTGGAAAGTTGCATCTATCGCCACAATGTAACCTACTGTCGCTGTTAGGCCTCAGCCTCGAACTTAGCGGGCAGCGGGGCGGGAGCGGCGGCGGCGCTGGAGCGGGGCGGGCAACGCAGACCCGTTCTCGAAACAAGCGGGCAGCTCGCGCGGCGCTTTAGCGGCGAAGGCTTGTGTTCGGGGTTGTGTTGTCGAGATATTTGTTTTTATTCGCAAACGAAATGTCTGAACAACGGCAACAATCTTATTTCGATTCAAATTTATTCCTAACGCTCGATTTATTGTGGGCAAAAGAAGGAGTGCGCTGCCCGCTCGTAGCCCGCTCCCTCGCCGCTGCCCGCTCGTTGCCCGCTGCCGCCCCGCTGCCGCGCCGCTGTTTTCGAGAACCGGTCTATTTGATTTTACGCATAACATCCTGCCGCTCCCGCGCCGCCGCCGCCGCCGCCCCGCTGCCCGCTAAGTTCGAGGCTGAGGCCTAAGGCCTTCATATCTATCTATACTAAATATTATAAATGCGAAAGTAACTGTGTCTGTCTATTGCTTTCACGCCTAAACCACTGAACCGATTTTGATGAAATTTGGCATAGGTAGAGATATTTTAAGTCCCGGGAACCTAGGATAGATTTTATCCCGGTTTTTGAAATAGGGACGCGCGCGATGAAGTTTTTCTGTTACAGACAAAATTCCACGCGGGCGAAGCCGCGGGCGGAAAGCTAGTGCTCTAATATAAGACCTAAAGAATGCTAGATGCTCTAAGCTTATAATCCCGACTGCGGCCGAGCAATCACGCTGAAAGCCTGTCGAGGGGATGGCAGGAAAATTCTTGCAATGTTGCCAGCGAACGCGGTATAACGGCCGCTGTAAGATGTAATAAAATGCTCACGGCGGAATTGAAATCGTGCTAGAGGATCGCAAGGAATATACTCTTAGCACGGCACGTGTTAAGCAAATACGTGATAACTACTCTAACTAGATAAACAGAAATAATGTATGTAAAGCGGGTTATATAAAAATATCTACATAACCTTATCTGATTCAATGTTACATTCAAATTTTTTTATTTAAAACTATTGCGTTGAAAACAATATTGTGTTTTCAATTTTCATACAACCTACTCGTATACTAAAGTACTATTACGTTCGAATGCTCTACTCGTAATTAAAAATGGGAAAGTTCGCACCCTTTTCATTAGCTTTAAAATTATCTGAATCAATGTATCTTGCTAGGGCAGACTCTTTAGGCCAAAATTATGGAACGACACTCACGTACCGGAATGCGCAGCGTAGAACGTTCACCCACAAGGTGGACCAACGATCTCATAAAGGTAGCAGTAAGGCGCAAGATGCAAGCAACTACAAATCGGTCATTATGGAAATCGTTAGGGATCGTGAAATCTAGAACCCCAAAAATAAATTGAAGCTTGAAGCTTGAGTCTAAATACTGCTGACCAATCATAAAACTGAATCTACAGTTTGGAACATCATTGTAATAAGAAATCGTGTTTGAAAAGTACATACCTGTACAGCATCCTCTCTTGGCGGTCAGCTTCCACATATATCCTATAGTACATATACAGCATTATCACTCCCGGTATCCAGAAGCTGACACTACTCGACACCACAGCGTACACTTTGTTCACCGTAAAACTGCACACTTTGGGGAACCTCCTCCTGAACTCGATGTGATCTTCCGTAGTGTACCATCCCATGAAGATTGGCAGAAACGACACTAAAGCTGGGCTGCACCAGACCACAGCTAGCATTATACCCAGTTTTCCAGTGGTCATGATCAAAGGGTAATCCAAAGGCTGGACTATGGCGTAGTAACGGTCCACACTGATGCAGCACAGATGCAAAATCGACGCAGTAGAGAAGTATACGTCCAAAGAGTTCCACACGTCACACATAAAGTAGCCAAATAACCATTTTCCGTTCGTAATCTCAACGCTGAAGTTGAAGCACATCGCCCATATCGCTACCAGCATATCCGCAAACGCCAGCGATACTACAAAATAGTTTGTGATCACTCTCAATTTTCTGTGCCTCATCACTGATACAATAACCAATAGATTTCCAAATATAGCTGCTAGAATAATGAAGAGCATGATGACGCATTTTAGTATCACAAGAAAGACGACTAATGGTTCGTCTTGGAACTGATTGCTGTATACGAGGTCGCTAGAGCTCTCATTGACCTCTAAGCTCTTGTTGACGTAGGTATCTGTTAGATACATTGATGTGGATAGTTCTCTGAAATCTAGAGTGAAATTTTCGGCGTCTATGTTGAACACAACTTCAACTCTCATGGTTTGGCTAGTTTAGGTCAGGTTGATCTCCTTGGTGAGGGTGAATTGGCTGCTCGTGTGGAGATTGGGATGGGTGAACGCCGCCATATTGTACGCTCGCCGCTTTAGTACCTGTAAATAAAGATTTCGGTAAGATAGTGCTTCTCAAACAGTTTATAATCTGCAAAGGTTAAGAAGTATCAAGAGCAGCAATTTACGACGTGGATTTGGTCGAAATGATACTTAATTTAAAGGTTTTTATGCATACAAGGCAGGTTCACCACAATCGCACCTGGTGATAAGTGAGATGCAGTCTAGGATGGTACATATCTGCCCTGTAAGTGCCTATTCACTCTCGCCTTAAAAAGGCCCGGATTAAAGGTCAGCCTCTTTAGACTTAGATTTCGCTTAAAACTTTAAAAAAGATGCACAAAAGTGCTTATTTTTAGAATTTCAACTGTCAGGAGTGATGACGCGACTCACTTTGGCTAAGAAAGCAAAATAATTATTTTTGGAACATAAAAATACAAAATCGCACATTTATTTACGGATCCCTATTCAATTGATGCATATAAACCCCAAACATATCCCAACGATAACAACAACCTGCGATCGTAAAGAGGGCGTTACGAAACGTTGAGAACCACATTTTAGATTTCCCTTTGTGCACAAAACGCTTTGTTGCCGGTTTCGGCGTGAAAAGCCCGATATAGCCCAGATCTCGAAAATGAATGCCTGTATGCTTTAAGGTTAGTATAGACTAGAGCGACTACTTGTAACAGAATAACGAGCCGCGAGCACAGAGTAACTATAAAAATTTAATGTCACGAACCAAACGTCAAGCACGCTCGCCGCTTTGTTAGTAAAGATGAACTACACTGAAATGTCCCACCGACGACATTGACAGAAGGGCGCCACTATCTTCGTTCAACTATTGACGGTGGCCCCCCCTGTCAGTGTCAAATAAAGGACACTTCAGTGTAGTTCTTCTTTACCTTTTTTTCCTGTGATGCGGATTTTAGCACGCGTGCGGATATGGTCGCTAATCTGTGGCGTGCGTATTACTACGCTGCTGATTGAAAAACATGTAATGAAATAATGAAATGCGAGCAGCCCGCATCAGATCCGCACGCGTACCAAAATCCGCACCACAGGAAAAAGGCACATACACAACCTAATTGTACAAACGCAGCGTGAGACGTCCACCCACAAGGTGGACTGACGACATCATAAAGGTAGCAGGAAGGCGCTGGACGCAGGCCACTACCAAGCGGGCAACATGGTAAGCATTGGGGGCCTATGTTCAGCATTGGACGTCCTATGGCTGAGATGATGATGATGAACGAGCGTATTGGTGTAACATTTCTTCGAGCCTTTGCACAAGCGCGGACGATGCACATTTCAACAAAGAGTGAACGAAAGATGCAACGAAGTGTTACGGCCCTAACACACTTGCTGTGAGCGTGTGCGCATTACGCCGAATAGAGCGCCGAGCATTCGCAGGAACATTACGTTACATGAAAATTATTTGAAACCTGAAATTTTATGGTACCATTTGTAAGAACGTTACATTACATAGAAATGCTCTAGTTTATACTCATCTTTAGGATAATTTCCACATAAATTTAGCTACACCTATAACTCTATCGTAAAACATGTATTGTTTCATTCAATTCATACCCTTTTTACGAAACACGCATATTATTATGTTATTTTCGACTTATTTTGGTCTGGAAAACATATTTCAATTTGTAATACATGCCGTATCATTTTTCGCACAGTTTGTTTGAAATTTCAATTATCCTACTAAAATATTTTTTTTAATTTTATGACTGAATCATGTAGCAGCCAACACGTTTTAATGAAAAACCAACACATTTGAGCCGAATTAAATTTTAATTTTAAGCTTGAATACCGTAAAGCATGTTTTATATTAAAACTAGCTGACCCGGCGAACTTTGTTCCGCCTTAATGGCAATAAATAAGCAGACTTTTTTTTATTTCGAACGGGATAAAAAGTATCCTATGTCCTTCTCCTGGCTCTAAACTACCTCCCTGACAATTTTCAGCTAAATCGATTCAGCCGTTCTTGAGTTATAAGTGGAGTAACTAACACGACTTTCTTTTATATATATAGATGATCCGCAATGCGCTTCTGACACAGTTGTATAAAAACAAATACTTTACGCGGTCTGTCAAACACGTATTTTTTCTATTATAAAGGACAAAGTTGAGTTGATTTAAGTTTCCTGTCCTAAGCATTCTTTGGATCCAATGACAGTTTAACTTTCTCCTAAGAGCCAAAGCACACGATGCGTTGCGGCGTTGCACCGCAAAGATTTCGCCGAATCGCGCGACGCGGCGCCGCACCGCTCGTGTGCCCGCCACAGATATTTCTATGTAAGACGAAGCAGCGACACCGCTCCGGCGTCGCACCGCCGCCGCAACGCATCGTGTGCTTTGCCTTTAAAACTAACTCGACTTTCACTGGTTGAGTTTTTTCTGGCGGTCAAGCCGTACATCTTTACTACACAGGAGTTGCAGTAGTTGCACAGAAAGGTGAGAGTAATTGTGTACTAAATCCAAAAGCATATTCAAATAACTTGCACCAAAAAAATAATACAATCCAAATGAAAATGTTCCTCTAAAAAGTTTTCTCTCTGACCTAAATTAACGTTTCTAGATGCAACGCTAAAAAGAAAACTTGAGGAAAAAACAAAAGAAGCGCATTTCGCTGCAAATGGCCCATTATATTAATTGAAAAGATTACCTTAGAGTAGACAATATTTTTCTTCTCGTGTTCTGCCGTGAGTGAAAAACGTGAATAGGATATAAAAAGCATAAAACCTTTTATTTATCTTTTTTTTTTATAAAACGATATTAATGCGTTATACTTGTCGTTATAAATAAGTATTATTAGCGATGAAACTGTCCCTTGGTTTATTTTTTCCCGTTCTGTTCCCTGGTATTCTTTTAAAAGGATCTTTTCTCTCAAGGGCTTCATTTCTCTTTTCTTTTTCTTCTTATTTATGTGAAACTTCAGGAAACCAGTTATACAATTACCCTCATCTTGTCAAAATGTCTTTTCGCGAACAGGAACTTGACTTCTGTAACTTCCATTGTCAATGCCATTTGCGTTTCATGCCAATTCGCTCCCTCCAGAAACTTCTTAAGCACTCTTACACCCCCTTTTCCCACAAAAAGCGGAACAAACTCAAAGCAAGTCAAATAATTTCAACATACTCGAGTTCGCAAGTTTTCGTGTGGGAAATTGAAAAGTCTCTTCAAGCCGCTTTGTGGGATATTTCCTGAAAGGGTGCATCGTGTAAAGGGATTAACTGTTCAAAGACTGCCCTGAAAATTTGGTAACTAAAGGATTTCGTAGCTATCACAGTTCGTTTAGTCGTTAGTGAGCAAAAATAGTAGACATGTCATGAAGACCGTTATTGAGAAATGAACTAAGTATGGTGAATAATATAGTTGAACGATTTTGAAACGTCAAATGGCAAAGATCGGAAATATAGATGACCTACACCAAACTCATTGACAGGGGGGCGCCACCATCGTTCAACTATACATATGTATAGTTTCCAACATGGCAAAAATCAAAACCAGCGATCCGGTATTGATCCGCCCCGCTGTCAATGTCATGGTGGGGCAGTTCAGTATATTGGGTCTATAGTACCCGACTTTGATGGCAGCACCTTCCTGCAAATGACATTTCAGTGTATTCCAACGTGGCAAAAATCGGAACTAGCGATCCGGTATTGACGGTGGCACCCCCTGTCAATGGCACAGGTGTTGTCATTATTTACGTGCGCGTCATGTTCACGTGACTTACCTAAAATGGTACACGCTGTGACACAACTTTTATTCTGAACAGATAGTCTTCGTAATGCGAATCTATACATATGTAGATCGTTTCATCCACGAAGACGCGCCCTACCAATTTTTGGTCGAGGGAAGCGCGGGGTGCGGGGAGTTTGATCCGAGCAATCCGAGCGTCATTATTGTAGTGAGCATTGATAAATTAGCGTGTACCGATAACACTCAAACATTAGCGAAAGAATGGTGTAACGATCTATTAAACAAGAGGACTTACAATAATTCTGCCTATGTTAAGTACCTAGGTACTTCGACATAAGAAGAGTTGCTATAAACATTTTTGAATTTTCGGCTCTCCCTAACGCTCCTACTTGTTCCATATTAGAAAAGTCCTTTTAAAGATGTTTCTAATATTAAAGCCTCGTATAAAGGCAAAGAAAATAAGGAAGAAAAAACAGAAAAATTAGTTGACGAGTCACGTTTAGGTAATTTGTAAGATATTTGCAATAACAAATATACAAAAAATGTGTATAGGTACAGCTGATAAGCGTTACCTTACAAATATCCCGCAGAGAACATTTTAATTTAATAACGTTTCTAAAAATGTCATTGAAATAAAAATACGTTATAAGAAAGTAAATCATTTAGAGCCTTTGATCACCAGCTTAACGTGTTTCAGAAACGGCCTTACACAATTTCATTTCCCATTTTTATCTTGATCGACTTTCGTAGACTGAGACCCGGTTTAATCTACGGAAATTGGGGGATCATGATCTTGTGGGTTATTCAGGATAACCTTTTTTCACCCCTCATAAGTTTCAGGACACATAAATACAGATCATCATCATTTCAGCCACAGGACGTCCACTGCTGAACATATAAGCCTCCCTCAATGGTTTCCACATCGCCCGGTTGAAGCGGCCTGCATCCACCGCCATTCTGCTACCTTTATGAGGGCGTCAGTCAACCGAGTGGACGTCTCACGCTACGTTTTCCGTAGATATAGATTGACGTCCCAAATATAGCCCTACCACAACTGCGGGACATCATACAGGGTGGAAACGATAAGTGATCTCATTCGATTATTTCTAAACTATACAAGATATTGAAAAACTGGTTACTGATCCTAAAAGTGCTTCACGAGCTCTATCCAACGGTACCAAAATAGGTTATAGAATTAATTGGATCTATCCGAAAATTAAATGTTTTCAGCCTCCATACT